TATCCCACACGCTCTTAAATTTTTCCAAACTTAAGAAAATGAACACTATGAGTGCAGCAATTATAGTGATAAGGGGATAAATGCAGTATGACCCCAGACAGATGGAAAGTCATTTATAAGGGTATATTTTAGAAAATGGATCAGACGTTATATAGTTGTGATTGTATCTCTAGCTGTATAGAGTGGTTAAGGCATCATTTTGCTGTGTCATTCTAAAAACAGAGCTACAAAAATGTTAAAATCTGCCTTTCCAAATAATTATTTCTGACTCAAAAGAAAAGCCAGAGGGAAAAAATGGAACTACTGAGTATCATTATAGAAGACGATACCTGATCAATTGCTTTTCATTAACAGGACTGTCTATTTGGCAACTTGGACTATTTTGCTTCAGGTATTTTTATTTTTCAAGGTAGAAAAAAAAATATTGATTATCCATAGACACAAAGGCAATGAAATAAATGGTTTACAGTCAAATGTAGGAGAATTCTAGGGTCATTTATTTTATAATGTTCTGTTGTTATTTTTACCCAAGGGTTTATAAGGTAATGCATTATACTGTTCAATTTTTCCGTAGTGTTTTCTTCTATTTTACATTAAATAATGATTCTGCATCAATGTCCTACCCTGCTTGGGTATCCACTGTTGTGACCGCTGTGCTCAGTACACAGCATGGGCCATCAATACATCTGAGTCAGTTACAACAAATCAATGTGGAGTTTGTAAAGTCATTTGTCCTTAACTTTACAGGGGGAAAACAATCTCTAGCTGAAAAATAACAACCAAGGTTTTCATTTACCCTCCTCCCTACAGATTTTTATATTTTGGAGTTAGAAGGGCACTAACGGATTGTCCAGGCTCCTGGTTCTCCCATGGGGGGCTGCTAACACTGTATCCCACGTAGGCGACTGTCAAGATTCAGAAGAGGAAGACATACTGTGTCTACCGTTACCGCCATTTTAAAATAGGCAGTGACAATTTAATTACCACTTGGTGTTGAGAGGGTCTGTTCTCAGAAGAAAGGCGAACCCCATGTCACTGGGAAACAGCAGGGAAGCTCAGGGTGGAACAGTCACTGAGCTTCCTCCAGATGCCCTTCTGCTGAGTGATGCTCCCCATTTATGTTGCAATCTTGCCAAAGCTTAAAATGATTAGAAATGTAGAGCAATAGGCAGAATGAATACCTTAATTGCCTCTGAGATTTTTTGAAAACACTTATTAATCAATAATGAATGAACCTGATGAAAAAACAAACTTGTACATCATTCCACTCTACAAGGTAATGGAGGAAATTAATTGCCCTCATTATGTAGAAGGGCTAAAATATCCCCGCTTGTGCCCACCCCCTGTACCATGTGATCACATTTGTGCATGTGAAGGACAGATGTGAATGACTAAGGGATTAATTGGTAACATGAAACCAGGGCTGGATAAAGAAACCGACCAATATAGATTCCAGAGCAAAATTCACAGAAGATTCATCAATCCCATGGAGAAGAGAGGATATGTAGGGCTTTTGTTCCACAATGGGGGAAAATGAGCCTCTCCTGTGTTCTCCCCTTTTTCCATTTATTTAGTCAGTATATACACGTGCTAAGTGCTTGTTAGCTGGGCTATTGGGGAGGAGGAAGTGCAGCGTGTGATCCCGTAAAGGCACCAGCTGGGAAGGGCTTTGCCGGCTGGGAGCACTCCGCTCTCATGGAGCTGGTCTCGGACCAAATGGAGAACCAAGGCAGGTCTAGGAAGGAAATGCACACTGGCCCGAGGGATGTGTGCTAAGTGGCTGGAAAACGGACCTCAATACAGGCACTGGTTGTCTATCCGATGAAACGGGAATCTGCTTTTAACCTATGCACCAGCCACTATAGATCCGTACAAACTTCCCTAACATACAAGTGATAAAATCCTTGCTTAGTCTTGCTATAAAACATAGTACACGTCACCTCGTTCCAGCACTCTAGTGACCTAACTGCTATAATTATATGAGCCTTTCATCATTAAACCGTGAATTCCTTGAGGGAGTCTGTCAAATCTTTCCGTTTCCCCAGCCAGGTATCTGTCTCTCTTCCTGGCACTTGGGGAGGCTTGGATCGACATTGCCAGAAGGCATGGTTCCTTGCCTTGTCTAGTGTTTTCTCTGTTTGTTTCTCTTCAAACACCTGAATCTTTGGGTAGTTTGCTCTGTGTGGATGATCAGAATCTTGAGCAGTTTCTAGCAACCTAAACAGGGTCCCAACAGGAAGCAGATGCCCCCTCTGGAGGAGAATAATGTGAGGCGGGATTACTTACTAAAGGGTTGTTTTCATCAGAGAAAATCCAGTTCCTCATGGTGTGGTTTGCTGAATGCCCATCACACGACGTATACTGGAGAGGGCAATCTATAAACACCTTGCTTTACCCACTTGACCAAATTAAAACGTTAAATTAAGCATTAATTAAAATGTTATTGTTTTAATTTCATAAATGATGAAACCTGACCTTGGCTACCCTTCATACTTTTACAACCACGGAATCCTTGTCTTCAAAGTCCAAGTCCATTTCTCTAGGAAACACGTCACTTAGTTTTCTGGCCACGACTTCTGTGTAAATAACATTTTATTGTTTATTATATCGTGGACCTCAGAAGGCCCTCAGTTTCTTCGATCCTCATTTTTTTCTAATAATTAACTCTCATGTCTCACAACCAAAACCAAGTTTAATGCTGTTTGGAGAAAGGACAGCATCCTTTTTCACACCAAATGAGTAATCAGGCCTTTGTCACTTCATGTTCAGATAAGGACAGAGAGACATTCTCTTTACAAAGATAGCTTCCGTCTACACTTTGCTCTAGCAGAGAAGTTCGGTGTTGACCTAATACTGATGTAATGGGGAGGTTCAGCAGCTGTGTGGTTCTACATTACTGTGGGTCATCTCTGTAAGGTGTTCAACTATAAAATATAAAGTACAAAACTATTATAAATACCACATCCCCTACCCTACTGAACATCCAGAATTAAAAGCTAGCAATAAAAACTATCAAAACTTTATTAATAAAACCCTTCCTTTCTTTCTCTGTCACTTAGTTGTTTTCTGCCTTCATCTGGATTCCATTTTTTGTTTTAGTCCAATCTGATTTGAATGGCACTTTCCATGATTATCAAACAGAAAGTGTAATGAAAGTATTTACAGATTGACTTTGTGTGTGTGTGGTACCTAAGGACCTGGGTTAGTCAGAGTTCTAGTAATACGTCCTTTGATAGACTGAATCTTTGCATCCTCTCAAAATTGTTTTATTGAAATCCTAACATCCAGTGTGATGGTATCTGGATGTGGGCCTTTGGAAGGTAAGGAGGTCATGAGCATGAACCTTCATGATGGGATAAGTGCCTTGATAAGGGACAGGAGAGATGATTTCTCCCTCCACCATATAAGGATATAAGAGACGACAGCTATCTATCTATAAACCAGGAAGCAATCCTCATCAGAACTTCCGTCTGCCTTGATCTCAGACTTTCCAGCCTCTAGAACCATGTGACATAAATTGAAACCACCCAATCTAGGGTACTTTGTTATGGTAGCCTGAGAGATCTAAGACATGCCCTGTATCTGACACTTACATCCTAGGAGTCTGAGTCTACTTCTCTGTCCTCTTCAGTGGCCAGGGAACAGGGTCATCGTATAGTCAATGGACCCTGTTCCACAGGCAATGAGTAAGATACCATACAAATGGGATACTGAGAAGCAGAAGTAGGTCATTCTACAAAGTGATTTTTAAAAGATTTATATTGCTATTTTTGCTTATTTATTAGCTGTTGTAGAGTATCTGTCACGGAGAAAACTTCATGCAGAAGCCCAATACATCACGCAGATAAAATCAGAGCTGGTTGGGCTGAGGGAGCTCAAGATGTCCATGCCAAGATTTCCATCTCTACTAAATGCTAGGCAGTGGGAAAATGGATAAAATGCATAGATCCCAAACACTGGACAAGGAGCACAAAGAGAGCAGGTAAGTAGGGACACCAGAAGAAGTCACCAGGAATGAACAGAAAAGGCAACTCGACAGCTTGAAAGTCCTAAAAGGAACAACGGTGCCTGAGCAAGGACCACACCGGAAATGAACCCGCCTGGGTATCACCATGGGGCCTGCGGAGCTGTATTTCGTAGGACAGGTAAACGCACCGTGAAACTGACAAAATAAATGATGTCACAGAGGTAAGAACCAAACGAGGGACCAGCTAACCATGCCTGGGAGTCAGGAGAGCCTTCAGAGGGGGAGGGGAGTCTCTAAGCATGACATGGGTTTCTGCGTTCAGTGAAGGGAGACAGGTTACTTCTGGCAGAGAGGCACTGTGACATCATTCAAGGCATGGCAAGGTGGTCCCTTCAGCTGAGTAATAACGAGAGACTTCCAGGAGAAGACACTAGAAAAGTAGGTGGTAGGAGACACCTCCCGTCATCCAACAGCTAGTGACGGAGTACTACCACATGCCAGGCATATGCAAATGGACCCTGTATACATGTGGTCTTTATGTACATGTATATACATGTACGTATTTCCTCTTTGGAAGGACTCAGGATTTGCCCTAAAGCTATTTTATTCTTCAGGCGACAGATGATCGAGAACATCGTAACAGGAAAATGCTAAGACCAGACTTCCATATCCTAAAGATCCATACAAGAATGGAGGGAAGCAGGGATCAAACGCTAGCCGTGGAACACTTATTCATGAGAGAAATCGGAAGGTCCAGCCTCACACTGACCATTGAGAGCAGAGAGTCAAGACAGATTTGAAACACACTTAGCGGATTCATTTAGGACAATGTCAACAGGACATTCTTCCCCAACAATGTGAAGCCAGTGCACGTTCTTTCTTCCAGCAAATACTTTCACAGGTAGAAAAGTAGAAAGAGGGGAAGTGAGAAAAGCAGTTTATAGGATTACTTCTCCAGGACGCATCCATTCTCTCCTCTGTGTCCCCTCTAATTGACATATCAATCCTCATATAGAAAGAAAAGAGGACTTACAGACGGAGTTTTTATGACTACTGTCCTTGCTGGGCATCATCTTGACTCCTCTTGACTTCAATTCAATTGCCTTTTTCACTGCAAGAAACAAAATAAAGCCATTAGTAGGTAAGAGTCAAAGGGATATCACAAAATAGTGCTTTATCCTCACAGCATTTTGAGTCATGACTGCGTGCTTACCAACCTCTGGAAAGTGGGACACGTTCTAAGAGGTTAATGATGCAAAGCAAATGAAGTACAAGAGCTTGTGAATAATTAATGCAAGGCTATCAAGCAGCAAGATCGCATCTTATAACAGCAGTGTCAGAAGCTAAAAATGATGTGGGCTGTGGTTTACCTTCGACACTAGCAATGGCCCATCTAGAAATCACCACCATTTCAACAAGTACTCAGGCAGACTGCTCTCTCAACGAAGGTGCAGTGACTCTAGAGATTTCTAAATTTGCTGCGTTCATGATAATTTTTAGATAAAATGTAAGCTGCTCATTTATTTATTCATGTAGTTATTTAATAGTACAAAGTTTAACATACATACATTCATGGGGAGCTCATATGGGAAATCATGTTCTGAGTGCTGGGGATAAAATGTTAAATAAAAGAATGAAAATCCTCCTAGATGCTTGTTATCTATAGACAGCATTAAAAAAAAAAAGAAAGGTATACATGACATTGGTTTCTAGGGTCACAGTTCTCAAGCTTAAATTTATGTTCCTTAGTGATTTCAGGTCCTGCATCAAACATTTTAAGAAGTTTCACTTTTCTGGTCATTTCTAGAAAACAAAAAGTAAGGAGGCATTTCTTGAGAAGAAACTAGGAAATAATATTTTGATTTAAAAGTCTTTTAAATAGTAAAAATATATTATTGTTATTTACATTAAAATAAGAATTTAAGGGGCACCCGGGTGGCTTAGTCAGTTGAGTGTCTGACTTCGGCTCAGGTCATGGTCTCGCAGTTTGTGAGTTCTGGCCCTGCGTCAGGCTCTGTGCTGACAGCTCAGAGCCTGGAGCCTGCTTCGGATTCTGTGTCTCCCTCTCTCTCTCTCTCTCTGCCCCACCCCCACTCACGCTCTGTCTCTGTCTCTAAAAACCTTAAAAAATACTTTTAAATAATAATTCAATATTTATATTGACAATATAATATTTAATTTGAACAGTTATCATGCACACAAATGAGACGACCTAGAGTAACTCAAAGTATGCAGATCCGGGTTCAAATCTTTGCTAACAACTTGGTAGCTATGCGGTCTGGGTAAGTCACTTAACTCAGAATCTGTTAATTTCTCTGTAAAGTGAGGTGGTGGTTAATTTCATGTGTCAACTTGAGTGGGTACAGAGTGCCCAGATATTTGGTCAAACAGTATCCTGGGTATTTCTGTGACAGTGCTTTGTGAATGTGATTAATATTTAGATCAACTAAGTAAAGCAAACTGCTCTCCCTAATCTGGGTGGGACATATCTAATCAGTGGATGGCCTGAATAGAAAAAAAAAAATGCTGACATTCTCCTGAGTAGCAAAAAACTCTTCCTGCCTGTCTGTCTTCATATTGGGATATTAGTTCCACTGTTGTCGTTGTTGCTGCTGCTTTTCCTGCCTTAAGATTTAAACTGAAACATCAGCTCTCCCTGGGTCTTGAGACTGCCAGCCTGTGGATCGTAACTACACCATCAGCCCTTATGGGTCTCCACCTCACCCACTTGCCCTACAGGTCTTGGGACTTCTCAGCTCCCATAACTGGGAAAGCCAATTTCTTACAAAAAATCATATGGAGCCTAATAGCTCTGATTCTCTGCAGAGCCCTAATGCAGGGGGCATGCTGATGTCGAATGCAGGGGTGGGAAGGCTGCATGAGGAAGGTGTAGACATAACGAACGTAACCCAGGGGAGCACACGATAGACTCCGTGCCTGACGGTGTTTGCTCTTACTCTCCTATCTGTGTATTCAGACGTGTGCCCTAGCGGTGGCCACAGCAAGCGCCCTTCGGGTTGTTCTATAGCTGATGTCACTGAACCTGTGTCCCCTCTGCACTGTGCCACCATCTCGTTGGTGGAGTTTCTGGCCCCCTGGGTACAGGTCTCCACATCTCTGCTTCTCAGAGTCCCACACCGCACATTTCACCTGCCTCTTCACACGGACACTGGTTAACGGCTTACATTGTGGGACGCGTCTTCAAACCCACCATGGTGTTTAATTCTCCCACCACTCAGGTAGGTCTTGTACAGACCTTTACTCATACCAGGGAGCCGGGAAACCAAGGCTCACAGATTTGTCGGAAGTACACGGAGAGTAAGATATGTGACTGGGATACAGATCTCCCCACTCAGAACCCACGAGGCAGAACCCGTGTGTTCTGCCAGCTTGAGTGCGGGAGGCATGGAGGTGGAGACCCCCTAAAAGGAAGGAAGCCAAAGATGACAGAGAGCCCTGTACCTGGCCTTCGAAATCATCTCAACGTCACCAAAGTTGAAGGGAAAGCATAGTCTACTGATACTTTTACTTTTACTTTCTTTCTGCAATAAAATAAAAGCTGATTCTACCTCACTTCCCACCTCCCTCTTAAAAAGCAAGCTCTTGCATTTGAGGAAGGAAGCAATTCCCTCCCGTTGGCACTGACCACACCTTTGCAGGGGGAAGGCATCATTGAGAAAACCTCCCCCAAGGAGGGAATCACACGAAGCCTCTTGGGAAGGATGGGGAAGTGCTCACCACTGAGCAGATTTGGGGTTCAGGAGCGGCCAAGACAAAGCTGCCGCCAGATGGGTAGGGTGATGGGTCGCGGCTTTCACCACCAAGGCTGAGACACACAACTCTAGGTAAGACACGGTGGCAGGGTACCTGGACATTTGGGATCTTGCTGCCAAGGCACTGAGAACGAGGCGGGGCCAGCTCTGATGATGAGCCCTGACAGTCTGTCTACGGGCTGCTGGGACACAGAGTGTGGGGCACATGCTGGGACAGCAGACACGGGGTGTGGGGCACAAGAGGACTGGAGAGCACTCCTGGGATGGGGCAGCACCTGCCTGAGACCCTGGGGGATGCCCCAGGACAGGGCGTGTGCTGGGATGTGGCAGGAAAGGAGAGGACCCAGGACACTGGAGGTCCACCAGCCAAGTGAAGAGCAGACTCCGTGTCAGACATGACTGTACGTAGCTACTGTCACCACCAACCTTTGCTTTGGAGCCAATTCTTCACAGTTACACCAATATGATGGCAAGTTGGGACTATTTCTACCTAAGGGACTGCTGAATCATTTTTTCCAAAATGTTCTTATTCACAGGATCTCTTTTGATGAGCCCACCTGTTTAGTGGCATATGGGGGTTTCAAGCACTCCCTTCTTGGCATAATCTAAAGGAGTCTGGCCTTGGACTCTGAATCTTACCCCCATTAATATGGTCACATAATCTGACAAATCACTTAAACACCACAAACTCAGTTGCTAAATCTTTTAATCGACTGTCAGTCCCTTTGGTGTGAATTTCACCAGGGGGAAAATGAGAGTGTGGAAGTGCTTTATAGACTTTGAAGAGCTCTTCCCAACAGGGCAGATGAGAAATGAGTGAATTAGCCCAGTGTGGTCATGCGGCTCAAGCAGGTCGTTACGGCCGGTACTGCAGCCAGACCAGGGGACTCCTAACAGTGCAGCCACTCCTGGTGGATATTGGAGACGTGCCACGGAGATGCCCCTTCGTGGATGGACTGGTCGGTGGGTAGTGTTCAGTGTCAGCCCCTTTCAGGGAATGCTGACCTCCAGACAGCCACCTCTCCCGGGGTCATACCCTCCAGGGGCCGACCACACTAATGCACATGAGCGTATACAAGTCCCGAAGGGGAGCAAGTTCAACTCCAAGCACCCTGTGCATCGCTGGGACTGTTTAGGACCTCCAGGAAACCCAGGACAGCTGCTTTCTCCTCCTTCCAAGGGTGTTAACCCCAAAGGACATGCCCTAGGGGGCATCCTGCTCCCTAACGTTCAACTGCCCAGCAGAGAAGCATCAATGGGCATCAAGGGTCTTTCTTCTCCTGTGTGCTCCCTCCTCACCTGACATCTTCCTCATCCTTCTCTCTGTCTGGTGGGAGAAGGAGATCTGGCACCTGCCCTCACCACAGTGCTGCTGGCTGCAGTGACCTTGTCTGTCAGACTCCCCAGGACAATGGTTTAACTTGAACTGGGGAACGCCTTCATGCGCCTCACCCATCATAACCGCTGACTTGGGCTGTAGTAACTTTGTCTTGAAGTTACTCAGGAGAGAAGAGATGAATGCACAATAAGTAACGAACAGGATAATCAATGGGCGATAATAAAGCGCATGAAACTAAAGCAAACGTCGCCCAAAAGAAACAGATTAACACAAACAGAACTCAACGCATTCAGAAAATAAAAAGAAATAAGAAGAGTAGCTTTCAGGGCATGATACTGGGCTCTAAATACACACGTCCTATCTGGGAGCCTGATGAACTCTGGAATGTTGTAAATAACTGTATGCAGTTGTGTGAAGGTCATTCCACCGAGGATTTTTTTTCCCAACAAGATGGCGCTGTAATGAAGACTACCTGCTCCACTGAGTCCTAATTTGTTTCTAGTTGTTGGGTCTTCTAATTGCACAGCACTGGTTCCTGATGACATTATAAAGAAAGGGCAGTTGGCGTGGGCGTTCCTCCAAGGGCCCTCCTCCCATGTCCCCTCTTTTCCTCCATCCAGTGGCCTCCTGCCCCTCCAGTGGCTCTCCGCAGACCTGGATGAAGAGTTCCTCTTGCCAGAAAAGATGCAGGAGGAGAGGGAGACAGTAGGGCAGACAGATGGGAGCATCTCCAGAAAGATCGCTTACCCAGGGCCACCTCTGCCAGCAGCCTAAAGTTCTCATGGACAGAAGTGTTTAGCGCATTCAGTCTCAAGTCTTACAGTGGATGATACGGCTGCATCTCCTGAATGACAGCCACGCTAATTTTGGGTCAACCTCAGATGTATGGAATCAGGAACTCTGGAGCTGGGCCTGGCCTCAAGCTACAAATTTTTAGCACGGCCACCTGGCTTTGCTTTTTTTTTGTTTGTTTGTTTTGCTTTGTTTTGTTTTATTTTG